TCTTGCATTGTTGCAATTTAGTAAACAAAACTGCCTCCAGTTTAGGCAAAAATGCCAGCTCTGTGTCCCCCCAGGGGAAAAGGAAGAGGCCATGTCACACAGTGACCACTGGGGGGCGGCAGAGGATTGGGAAGCTGTTCAGTTCCTTTTAAGTAACTGAACTTGTTGGGGACTCAGGCTCTGTGTCAGTTGGGGGGGGGGTCTCAGTTGGGGGTCTGGCATCTTCCATGAACCAGGTCTGGTAGGTGCTGGCTGCACCAGCGGAGACGGAGCCTGTCTTGGTTGCACTGCACCTATACTTCCAGTCGGCCTCTGAAACAGTGCCTCTCCATCCTGGGAGGACTTCGGGGAGGTCAGAGAATCCCTTCTGAATCTGACTGCAAAATTCATGGGTACTGAGGGTGTGTCGATCTGGTTGCAAACCCAAAAACACTTCTGGCAAATTTAAGCAAAGGGAGAATTTGTTGGAAAGTTATGAAGATGCTCCTAAGATGAAGGGGAAAAGAAGAAACTGGGCAGGCTCCAGTGGGTCTTGACAGCCAGTTTAGCAGGGTGGGTGGGGCACCTCTCGGAGAACCCCCACACTTCTGTTGCTTTCAGTCTTACATGCAGCTCATAATTCAGACTAATAGGAGAAAGTGTTGGATGGGTCCAGCATGGTGGGGCACTTATTACCTTGTGCCCCCCACCCTGCTTTCCCCATCTATCCAATTTATGACTATCCAGTTTATGCCTCCAACTATTTATTATCGACTCTTCTAGGTGCCCAGCTGCTGGTCTGAGATGCCATTTGCCATTCGAGATATCCAAGTGGAGGTGTTGGGTGGGCAGTCATACATCTGAGAGCTGATGGAGAGGAGCTCTCAATCTATTTTGAGGTCATGGGCCTCTCACTCCTGGAATGAAACCCTAAGTCCTGGCTAGCATCTAGGAAGCCCTCCATGTCTCCCTCCTGCCCTGCTCACTCACCTTATAGCCAGCCATACTGGTCTCACTGCTCCCCACATATGCTAAGCCCATTCCCTCCAGTGCCCACGTAGAGGTAGTATTTAAATTCATGGGAGAAAGGTCATTCCTCAAAAGGAAATCAGGGTGTTATTCCAAAAGAAGGTGGAATGGATGCTGGATGGCAAAACCCCACAAACATCTATCACAGAGGATTCTAGAAGAGACCCATGACCGCAAAATAGGTTGAGAATTACTGGTTAGTACTTGTGGCTTTTGACACATATACGTATCCGGTATATTTCATGAATCCAGTACATTGTACATGAGGCTTATGTGGCGGCCTAATGCCATCTGTGTATGTATACGCACGTAATACATAATACTAAAACAAAAACTTTACAAAGTTAGGTTTGTCTTTATCCCATCAATACTTCTCATGTTTTCTACTAATATCCTGGTCCATTAAAAAAAAAAAAAGACTAAACTGGTCATAACCCATCAACTTGATTTCATAACCCACTCGATCTGCTGTTAGGCACGGCGGGGGGCGGGGGGGGGCTCTAGTGGACCTCTTGCTTCTGCCCGCTCCCCTCCCCTGCTGTCTCCACCACCCTGTCTCCACTACCCCCACTCCCTACCCCTCACTTGTGCCATCTTATCAAGTACCTAACTGGCCTCCTTGCTTCCCGCTTATGTATAATCCACTGTACCAGAATAAATTTTTCTAAAGCCCAGTTCCGATAAGGAAAAAAAATTCTGGTGGTGGCCTCTTCTGAATGGATTTTTCTTTCGTTTGGCCATTCCTTAGTGTTCTTCCATGTGTTTTCTCTCCTCCTTTCCCCTACCTTCCCATGATTACCATGAATAGCACCTTCTCCCAGAAACCTTCTTCACTCAGTCACTAAATGTTTGCTGAACCTACGTATACACTGTGTTAGATTTGGGGAGATACGGTATTGAGCAAGCAAGGCAGACGAGAGCTACTCACCCACAGTGCTTATGGGAAAGGCGGGATATAAAGGATCCTAATCTAGTGGGAGAGCTTCCAGGAAGGCTTCCTGGAGGAGGTGTCAATCAAGAGAAGCACTAAAGAGGCAGGTGTGTGCGTGAAGGCGTGGAGGTTAGGTGGGAAGTCCAGTGAAGGTGAAAGAGCCCCAGATGAGATCGTGGGCTGAGTTCCAAGAGCAAGAAATAAGAGCATTGAGTGGGTAAGGGTTTGTGTGGAAAGAGAAAGATAAGTGATAAGTGATGTGGTTGCCAAGGTACAAAAGATGCAGGGAACTGGTCATCACGATAGTGCTCTCACCCAGTGGTTCTCACCCGGGGTCCGTTCTGCCCCACTCTGGGGGCCACTGGGTGATATCTGGAGATATCTGTGATTGTCATGACTGGGGGAGGGAAGGTGCGCTTGGCAGGGGGTGGGTGAGGCCAGGGATGCTGCTCCACATCCCACAGTGCCCAGCACGCCCCACCAGCAAGAATGGTCTGGTCCCAAGCGTCCACAGTGCCGAGGCCGAGACACAGTTGTGGAATGCTTACTCCAGTACTAAGTATTAATGTATTTAAAGCTCACAAGGCTGTGAGGTAGGTATTTTTATTACCTTTTTTTGCAGATGGAGAAACTGATTTAAGTACAGCTGACCCTTGAACACCATGGGTTTGAGCTGCGTGGGTCCACTTATATGCAGACTTATATCAATAAATTCAGTACAGTGCTGTAAATGTTATTTTCTCTTCCTTATGGTTTCCTTAATAACATTTTCTTTTCTCTGGCTTGCTTTGAGAATACAGTAGATAATACATTATAACATACAAAACATGGGTTAATTGACTGTTTATTGGTAAGGCTTCCAGTCAATAGTAGGCCATTAGTTAAGTTGTTGGGGGGTCAAAAGTTATATGTGTGCACTTTCTGGCCGCAAGGAGCATTGGCGCCTTTAACCCCCATGTTGTTGAAGGGTCATTTGTAATATACCTGAGGACACAGCCCATGACCGTGGAGTTGGCACTCAAACCTGCATAGCCTAGCCCTATTTCCCCTACCATGCTTCCTTTCCCGGCCAGGAGGAGTTGGGGAGTGGCAAGGAGGAAGGAGAGAGTGACCGTGTTATGGGCGTTTTGGGGAAGTAGGAGGGGTGTGGGCAATGAAGGTGGCCCTGGGTTTCTGGTCTGGGTGGTTGGATGGATGGTGGGCAGCGCTGTGATGGAGGCACGAGGAAGAGGCCTGAACGGTCAGATGCTGAGCTCCTATTTTGCTGTGTGGAGGGCGAGGCACCCACACACCTCTGAGCAGTTGTGGGCTGGGCCACTGTGGGGCAAGTCAGCAGCACGTGGAGGGGCATTTCCATTTGGGTATGGACCAGGTCACAGAAGGTGTGGAAGGATGAAGCTCTGGAGTGGGAGCTGGGAGCAGATGGGCAACAGCCTGAGCTGTGGGAGGAAAAGTGGTGGAGGGGTGACACCCTCAGCTAGGGAGTCTCTCCCTTCTTAGCACACCCACAGCTGGAGTGTGTGTGTGTGTGGGGGGGGGTGTACCTCACAGCTTGCTTCAGAGTTCTTGCTACCAGAGAGTTCCCAGAGGCAGAATATCTGTGGGTTCCCCTGCCCCGGCCCCCCCCCCACCCCCCCCCCGCAGCTTACTGAACTCTGCGGGTCATCAGGATTGTAATGCAGCTCCATGATCACCAGGGATCCAGGCTCCTTCTGTCTCATTGCTTTGCCATCCTTATTATAGGAGTCCACCTCAAGGTCTAAAATGGCTGTTGATGCTCCAGCGATCATATCTGCATTCCAGCAGGTAGCTTCAGTTTTCCCATGTGTACAGTGTGGGTAACACCTACTATCAAAAAGAGGAGATTGGACAGAAGCATCTAGTGTGGAGCCATTGTGATTAGAACCTCCCAGAGGCTCTTGGTGGGACTAGGTTCCCTTTGTTGTTTGGCCCTCTACCCTGAGGGACTTGATAGCCTGTGGGCCTTCAGCAGTCTGTCCTGTTCATCTCCTCTCTGGCTCCTGGGACGGTGGTCATGGAGGCATCACCTGTGCTCACTCCGTCACCAGCCACTCTGGCCCATGAGCAGGGCCTGGCTCTCCTTCTCCGGGGACCCTGCCACCCCAGCACCGGGCCTGGCTCTCAGACAGGGCGGGCTGGGGGTGGCTGCTGCTTGGTGCAAGGGCTGGCACTGCTCAGGGGTCTCAGGCTGGAGAGGGCCTGCAGTCGTGAACCACGAGCGGATGGGGCGAGTCAGGGTTCCGCTGGGTTCTCAGAGCCTGGCAGGGACTCGCCACAGAGACAGGGCCTGGCCGCCCAGCTGAAGGGGAGTCTGCATGGTTGTATCCTGGGAGTTTCCCAAGACTGGCCACAAAATTTGCACTGGGGCCCAGCGCAAAATGAAAGCGTGGGCCCTTTGTTCAAAAACTAGTAAGAATTTCAAGACTGTGATGGCAGAGCATTAAGCCACGTGCAGGCCCTTGGAGGTCCCAGCCCAGGAAAGTAGTAGACGATTTTAGTGTCACCTGGGGGCCTCAGGGCCTCTACTGGGGACAGATGGGCCTGGGCTGGGGCCAGGGCTGAGCATCCCTGGGGCACGTGGGGCACTGGCCTGGCACGGAGGAGCAACTTTTTAGGGGTGGCTGACCAGGAATTGTGTCCCACATTTCTGGAACATCTTCCCATCCGTGGCCCGTTCCTGGTTCCTGAGCCTGTTGGTCTCCTCTGCAGGGTTTCTTCAAAGTCCTGTAATCCCCTGTGTCAGAGCCCCTCCAACCCCCCCAGAGGGGAAGTCCAAACAACTCGGATTCCCCATGGTAATCCCACCAGGCAGCCTCTCTGTGGATGGGGCCCAGGACTTGGCCATTTTAGAACAAGCTCGTGCAGTGATTCGTCCCAAGTTTGGCCCCCCACCCATCTACCGAATAAGCCCTGGGAACAACCGGTGGGTTTCATCAGTGCCTGGAGCCGGGGCTTATTCTGCCATATCTGAGTAAGTCTAGTCTGCTTACAAATAGTCTTGACCATCCTGGGCTGAGAATTGTTTTCTTGTCATCTCTAGCCCAGAGCTGGCCTTGCCAAATGAAGCTCAGGGAATCTGCTTCTGGAACACTCCCCAGAGTCAAGAACAAAGTGCTGGAGGCCACTGCTTCTCCTCGGAGCCTCGCAGGGCAGGAGCCCGGCCAGGTTGGCTGTCCAGGGCAGGGGACTGGCCTGAAGGGAGGCCTGTATCCTCCCAGGCCACCGTGTGTGTGTGTGTGTGTGCGCGTGTGTTTGTCGGGGAGAAGCTGGAGTGTGGATCGCGTGTGTTCAATGCCATGAAAAACAAGAACGGGCTTGGAAGGCGCGTGTCTTTACCGTCATTTGTGTTGTTCCTTGTGGAATCCTGCAAAGGCAGGAGCGTAAGGCGGAAACCCGGTTTGTACTGCTCACCCCCCGTGGAAGAAAAGGCAGGCCATTACAATCCGAGAACCGTAAGCTTAAATGTCTCCCAGGAGAGGAGATATATATATTTTAAAGACATTCTTTCCGTCTGATTTCATCTAAGTCTTGAACTGTAAAACCAGAGAAACATTGTGATTAGGATAGACTTTTGGTTTCTAAGATAAGCGCCTAGCTTTCCTGTCTTTCCCCTGCACACCTGGCGTGGGCCTAGGAGTGCTCAGCGCTCCTGCTTGTTGGGAAGTAAGGTTTTTAAAGGCCACGTGAGTTTACATTAGTACCTTCTGCGTGAATGAGAAAAAAAATATTGGGGACTGAATATACTACAATATACATGTTCATAAGAAACGTTCTAATAACAATTAGAGCACAAAACTATTGGTATAAACATATTTCCAAAAGGAGAAACTATTGCATTTCATAAGATGGTGCTTCCTAGACCAGAGGTTTGTCTTTCTTCTTTGCAGTTGGTTTGGGGGCAGGACTCTTGCATGGAGCTAACCAAGTGCAATGAGTTACAGCGGATCTGGATCCGGAGTGTTCAAAGTTCAAGGGCTGTGCAAGTCCTCAGGATTCATTTAGCCCAGAGAAGAGTGTTGACTTTGAGCAGTTCAAGATGGGACTTGCCCCAGGTCAAAGTGCTCCAGGATTGCTAATTCAAAGGCAGGCATTCCAGAAGATTCTACGCGGCAGGAGCCAGGCAGGCTTGGCCCGATGGCTGCTCTCTGAAGACACCACTGAAACACCCACCACCCAGCCTCCTTGGAACAAACTCATTCCAGACCTGGCAGTTTGGCTTGACATTGGCTGTGACCTTGGACAGAACCCAAATCCTTCCAGTTGCTGATAAAACTTCTGGTCTTGGTTCTTAAAGACACCACTATGTCTTGGCATGGGCGGCCCATTTCCGTGACTTGTTCTCTGGGCCACATGGGGCCATGGCGATAGACAGCTGCTTCTGGGGACGTTAGGTGTCTGCAGATGGGGCTCCTGTGGGCCTGTGGGCCGGCCTCCACGCCTCAGCACAGCCGGCAGGGCAGGAGGCCCTGGGCACAGCACGGAGAAGGTCCCTTCCCACCACAGGGCACCAAGGCAGGGGGCTCTGTGGACACCGGTCAGCTCGGGACTGCCCAACAGCTGCAGGACACCCCTTCCCTCCTGGGATCTGAGTTTTAAAAAATAATGGTGGAAGCTGGAAGCAGCTGATCCGAGGAGAAGCCCAATGTGGAGGTGCCCGCTCGTCCAGCGTGGCCCCTTTCAGCTCTCAGGCGGGATGGGTAGACTTGGACCAAAGTTCATGGTCCGGCAGAGGAGAGAAGAACACTCAGAAGGAAAAGATGACCCAGGAGGCACCGGGTGAGCAGCTCAGGCACTCGGGAACCCGATGTGACCTTCTGTTGTGGTTCACGAGGGTTTTTCTTCTGGAGGGCGCCCCCGTGAGTCAGAGCAAAGGTCACGTCAACTAAGAGGCACTATTACAGTAGAGCTCAAGGGGCCCGGTCTGGAGCCTGGGGAAGGCACCGCAGAGCTAGATGCCCTGCAGGGAGTGGTTCGGGTCACTGCGCTCCCGCTTCACCAGGGGCTCGCCCAGGCTGCGGGCGTCAGAGTTGGCCTCACGGCCACGATCCTCGCGGAGGTCATCTGCAGGGTTAGCGTTGCGGATGAGGAGTGTGGGCGCAGGAAGGAGAGGGAGAGAGAAGCACATTCTCAGAGAGGTGCACAGGTGTGGACACTGCCCTGCAGTGCCCAGGGAGGCCTTCTTCCTGGAGAGCTCCCTTGACCAGTGTCCATTTGCTGGGTCACATTCCTGGCAGGGTCCCCCTCAGCAGTTGGTGCCCCCTACCCCGTGGGGCAGGGAATGGGTTGGGGTAGGGGCAAGTGGATGCAGGCAGCCCGGGACTGTGGCCCTGCTCCTGGGCCTGATGTGGAGGTGCCTGGGGAGCAGGATTAGATGGCATCCCAAAGCACCCACCCAAGAAGGAGGTGCAGGGCTGCTCCTCTGAGCCCCAGCAGGGGCCAGGCCCACATAAGCATCACTGGGACACCTGCTGCTGCCCAGGCCTCACCAGCCTGTCTGGATGCCAGCTCCTGAAGGCCCTCAAACCCACCCTGGGAGCTGCCTCGATGTCTACTAGGCCCAGGGTGGGAGGAATAGCCCCTGGGAGAGCCTCACGGAAAAGCCACGGACACACCCACCTTTATCGAGCAGTGTCAGCGATAGGGAAGCGAGATCGTTGAACTGAAAGAGAGAAGCCCAGAGTCAGGGGCCTCCACAGAGGGGCCTGGTCCTGGTGAATGTCAGCACTGTCCTCTATCTGTAGTTAACACAGGCTTCGCTTGTAAAGGAGAGTGGTTCCCCCATGAGAAGTGGCGCTGATGCTGGTGTGTCCCCTCTGGCACCTTCTGGGTCTTGCCTGGGAGCTGCTGGAGGACTGAGTGGGCGCTGACTGCTCAGGCCACCGAAAGGACAGGGACTGTGGCCTTTAAAGGTGACAGGCTTATTATGTACTAAAAGCTCTTTAGGCATCACCTCATTTCTTCCTCAAAACAACCCCACATGACCCGGCAGTTCTGCTCCTAGGAATGTACCCAAACAAGAATGTGTGCCCACAGCAGCGCAAAGCTGTAAACAACCCATGTGATCATCAACATATGAACAGGTAAAGCCAAATGTGGACTGTCCGTGCAAGGAAATATTATCTGGCCACAGAAGCAGTGAGGCAATGATCCGCGCTACAGTGCAGCTGCATCTTGCAAAGATGATGAGGAGTGACAGATGCCAGACAAGAAAGGCCACACCCACGTATGATTCCACCCGGGTATGGCGCCCACAACAGGCAGATCCTGGCAGAAAGCAGGGTGGCGGGTGCCAGCGCCTGGGGAGAGGGATGGTGGTGACTGCTGATAGGGGTGGGGTTTGCCTTTGGGGTGATGGAATGTTCTGGACTTAGAAGTGGTGGCTGCACAACTCTTACTGTACTAAATGCCACTGAATCGTTCACTTTAAAATGGCCAGAATGGTACATTTTATATGTCCGTTCCAACAGGAGACCTCCCACGGGCCGGGTGTTCCAGGTCTCATTTCAGGGGCAGGAACGCTCTAGGAGGCGGAGGGGCCAGGGCTGAACCCACGCCAGTGGGCTCCAGCCTGCGAGCGCTTTCCCACCCACAGGCCTCCTGTGAGTGTTTTCTCTTTGGGCCGTCCACTGTGTCACACACACTGCCCACGGCGTGCCGGGGTCCCCAGGGCAGGAGGGGCCCTCACCTCTCCCATCACAGCAATGGGCGTCTCTCCGGTCGCCTCGGCGACACGGTGCTCCACCAGGTAGAACATGTACTCGTCATAGAGCAGGCGGATCAGGTGGAAGGAGCCAAAGCTGGCGGCGCTGCGTAGCGTGAGGTCGCGGATCACCATGGAGCTGGGGGGATGGGCAGACAGAGGCTGGGGACTTCCGGGGAGCATGGACTCGCAGGCAGGCAGTCGGGCCAGGCTTTTCGGGGGGGGGGGCCCATAGATCCCACGAGGGGCCTGCCAGCCACCCAGACCGCCCCTGTGTCCGTTGTGACAGGCGGGGGTGGAGGGGAGGCGGGTGGGGCGGTCAGCTCTAAGCAGGGGGCCGTGGAGACGGGACATTGTGTCTCTGTCTGACACAAGCCTTAGCCAATGGCCTGTGGTCAGTCGTAGTGCCCTTACGACTCGCCCACGGCGGGCAGCCTTTCCCAGCCTTCCCTCCTCCTGGGATTCCCTCCCATCCAGCCTTGGCTCCTCAGTCAGTGGTTTAGGTGCCTAAAACAAGACAGAACTTCAGGGAGCTTCCGCCTCTTTCATCTGCAGCAGGGGCTGGGGACGTATGGCCCCAAATCCAGACCAGATCCAGCCCACTGCCCACTCCTGTACCACCCGCGAACTAACAATGGGTTTTACAGGTTTAAGTGGTTGGAGACACAGTCAAAAGAAGAATTATGTTTCACGACCCGTGAAAAGTACCTGAAATTCACAGTTTGGTGTCCATAAATAAAGTTTTATTGGCACATTGGTCATGCCTGTTCATTTACATGTTGTGTGCCGATAAAAGTTTATTTCTTGGAAATACTTACTATCTGATTCTTCACAGAAAAAGCAGCCCCTGATCTAAAGGGATGAGATCACTTGGCACCCGACCCCAAACGCCCCACCTCAGAGCTTCCCCACTCATCGCTGTGGTAGCGAAAGAACCAGGAGGGGACAAGGCAGGAGGAGATGTGTGTGAGCCCCCGACAGAGTCACCAAGCAGGGGGCCCTGCACAGCAAGAGCTCTGACGCCGTGTGGCCCAAGCATCCCAGAACCAAGCTGGAGGTGACGTGTGCGATTCTGAGGGAACCCTCGAACCACCAGCCACGAAGGGCCAGGCTCCCCCCTCCACGGTGGCAGCAGCGAAGCTCAAGCTCAAGCCAGTCACCTCATTTCCTTGCTTTGCTCCCGCAAATTCTCTGTAAACACCTCTCCCCTTGCTCACTGAGCACCTGCGGGTTGGGGCTGCTCCAGTCAACTTTTGAAAATGTTAGTGTGCCCTGTTGTTTTTTTTTTAACAGGCTGCCACTCTGTGCTTGTGTGGGAACGATGGGGTGTGCAGGTGAGTCGGTAAGAGCAGCTGATGGCATTATACTTGGGGCTTCGCACGTCCTCCTGGGCGGCGCGTAGATGCACCCTTAAGGCACTTGGTTTGGCGGGGGGGGAGGTGGCTTTAGCAGGCTGTGGGTCTGAGACGGCTTAGCAAAGGCAGCCAGGGAGGGGGGCCAGGTGCTGACCACCGTGTCCAGACCAGCATGTGGAAAGCAAAGGTCGCTTGAACGTGTGTGAACCCAAAGGCCGAGTCAGTGGACAGAGTGGAACGGCTTGGGATTTGGGCTCTTTTCTCCTCAGAAGCTCCTTGGCTCTGTATGGCCAAGCCCCCTAAAGGTAAACAAGCGAACTCGGATTTTGGGTCCCCGGCGGGGGGCGGGGGGGTGGAGGGGGATGTCTCTGCGTGCTCCCTTCCCCCACCCGGGGAGCCGTGGCTTGGCCGTTAATGCTGCGCCAGCCCTTCTCCCGAATGCCTCATGTCAGCCAGAGGAGAGCACAGGTCTGGAAAGAAAAGTTGCAGGCTGTCTCCGTCAGCACACGGTGCCTGCCCCGGGAGCCTGGCGAGCGGGCCGCTGGGCCTTCGGAGCCCCCCATGCCCGCCTTCCCTGGGTGCTCTCGGAAACCAAGCCGGACTTACCTGTAAAAGGACCATTTCAGAAGGAACTGGCGGGCGGCCTTGGGGAAGCTGGGGCTGCCGGCATGTTGCTTCAGGACCTGGGTGACCACGTTGTCCAGCCAGCTGGCCCACTGGTCCAGGGAGCTCTGCTGCTGCAGGGTCAGCTTGAAGTCCTGCTCCAGCCGCTGCACCATGCTCTCCTCACACTGGCACACCCACGAGGCCTGCTCCTGCGGGGCGTGGGCGGCAGGTCAGGGTGGCCCCCCAGCCCCGGACCAGCGCCGTGTGGGGTGCGGGGGTGGCATGGGGGCCAGCACCCACTCCGGGCCTTTGCCGGCTGCCACTTGAGCCCCCGGGGTGGAGCCGGACAGACGGACAGCCAGAGAGGGAGCCTGCCCTGGTTCCAAACGCGGAAACCCATGCTTCCTGGGGCCAAAGCTCAGACCACACACCGTGTGTTTGTGGTGTTTTAAGTGCTCCTTTCTCTAAAGGTGTGTGTGTTTATTTAGCGGATGAACTCAGAGCCTGAACTCAGCGTGAGTATCACTGAGGCAGGACGCGCAGGAACACAGCCTGCACTTTTCTGAGCCCAGAGGAGAGAGCTGTGAAAATGGTAGCAGGAAGGTAGATTCTTAAGGAGGGTGACCCAAGGTGTGGGTCCCAGCACCTGGAGGCCTGGGGGGCTGCAGGGAGGGCACTTCCGCCCTGACCCTGTTCTCACGCACACTGGGTTTTGCTGCGGGTTGCATTTTGTGGTTTTGAGCCTTTTTCTCGAGGCTAGAAGGCGGGGTGGGGGTCACTGATCTGCAGCCCGGTCCCCACGCCCCATCCCAGGTCGTGGGGAATTGCATTGGAGAAAGTCACCTGCACGTTGGCGAAGTCCACGCGGTTGAGGTCACTGAGCATCTGGTTGATCTGGGAGGTGTTCTGCAGCACGGCGCGCGCCGCCTGAGCGAGGTGGTTGAGTGACGTGTATCTGCGCAGGGTCTGGGCAAAGGCGCTGACCACGCCGACCTGTGGCCGAGGGAGGTGCAGACGGTGAGGTGTGGGGGAGAGCGCGTTCTCTCCTCTCCGTGGAGGGGATCGTGGGCTCCGAGACAGTGCGGAGGGGAGGGAGGGGGGACCCACCCTTCCGACGGTCTCAAGGACCCGAAGAGTGAGAATAAGCGAAGGACACGAACCTCCCGAGGCATCTCGGCATCTAGAGCAGACGCCATAGTGTCGCTGAGTTAGCACCCAGGACAGGGTGCTGACGCCGCTGTTTCTAGAATTCCTTCGGCTCTCTGGAGCGGCCGGGGCGGGGGAATACGGATCCCTGGGTGCCACTGGATCAAGCTTGGTGGGGCCAGGGCCTGGGAATCTGCGATTTTACCCACTACTTTGGGAACTCCGATGCACCCTGAGTTTTTTTTGTCTTTTTTAAATAAGCATGGCTATGTTTCTTTTTGTTGTTGTTAAGATTTTATTTATTTATGGTTCGAGGGTTCCCTCAGAATCGCACACATCACCTCCAGCTTGGTTCTGGGATGCTTGGGCCACATGGCGTCAGAGCTCTTGCTGTGCAGGGCCCCCTGCTTGGTGACTCTGTCAGGGGCTCACACACAGGGAGCCCGACATGGGGCTCGATCCCAGGACCCTGGGATCAGGAGCTGAGCTGAAGGCAGACGCTCAGCCGACTGAGCCCCAGGCGCCCCGCACCCTGAGGTTTGAGTCACTGGTCGAACAGATTGTTCCAGACCGCGGTCAGGGCGGCCCGATGCTCGGAGCGTGGCCTCACCTGTGCGCAGGTCTCTAAGCGGCGCTTGCGAGAGCAGCCGTCATTCTCTTCTGCGCACGGAGGCCCGCTCTCCACATTTTAAATTCTGCTTTGCGGCCAAGACTATTGCAGTAAGGGTGACAGCAAGGAGATTAAACCCTCCCGCCCATGAGGTGCACAGAAACATTCTATCTGTTTTGAATCCACCCAAATGCATCACAGCAAATGACAGCTTCTGTCGTGCCCCTCCCTGTGAGTGTCCGTCCCACATCGCCAGCATCCTCGAGGCTTCCTGGGGGCGGGGACTCATGGTCCTCAGGACCCTCGGGAGCGGCCTGCTTTGCCTGGGCATGGGGCCAAGAGCCCCTCCCTGAGCCCCTCCCAGCTGCCCCCCAGAGCGGAGCGGTTACCTTGGTCTGGATGACCTGCTGTGGGAAGTCTCTCATGGCGTTCGTCAACCAGCCTTCCAAGCTCTTGGCAAAATTACGGATGGCCTGTGTCAAGGTACCTGGGGGACACAAGCCATGACACAGTGAGAAAGGCAGTCCTGATCCCCATCAGGATCAGCAGGAATGGAAGAGGCGCACATGCAATGAAGCTGTTGGAGCAAGAGAAAGAGGCGGCTGAGCACACATGGACGAGGGACCAGGGAGAACCTAGGGCATTTAGTGAGGGAGGCGCCGGGTGAGAATTGGGGCCACCCAGTGCCTTCATCTCTGTTCCTCTGCCTCCTGCCTTAGTGGTCCCCTCACCCAGCGCGACTCTGCCCCCGGGGACACTGGGGGGTGTGTACAGACATCTGTGGTCGTCCCAGTGGGGGAAGCTCCGGCATTGAGCGGGTGGGGGCTGGGTTCAACCCCCCCCCGTAGTGCCCAGGACGGCCCCCCATTACAGAGAACAGTCCACAGTGCTGAGGAGAAGCCCTGACCCACACGTATGCACGTACAGATCTTCCACCAACTTCCGAGTTTATTGTGAGGTGGCTGGCAAATAAGAAACAAATCAGACTGTTTAAAAAGAAAAAACTTCAAAAATGTAAAAGCAAATATACCCCGACCCAAACCTGAACAAGGAGACTCTAACTGCGCATTGCGGTGAAGGGCTCCGGGGCGGGCAAGCCCAAAGGAGAAGCGCAACGGTTTGGCTGTTTCCCATTTTGTGGCACAAAAGCAGCAGACCAGTTCATTAAGAAAGACCGAAGTTTCCGTCGTGCCAAAGGGCACAAAAACCGATAGGTCACCACCAGGTGTACCCAGCCCCCCCCCCCCCCCCCCCCCCGCCGTCATTCCTTAAGCGCGAGGCCTCAGGGCCCAGCATCCTCACTCCGGGGCTTCTACCCTCAGGACCCTGGGGGCTGCAAGGGAGAGCCTATAAGGGGCTGGCAGGGCATGCCCCCTGCGGGGAGGCCCTGGAGGCAGAGGGGCACAGCGGGTCGAGACCCTCCCAGGGCTTTCAGCAAACGTGCAGACAGGGAGGGGTAGGGCTATCCCGTGACCTCGGCCCCACTCTGGGGATCTCCTGGGGGGCATCCCGGGCCCCAGAGGAACTTGGAGACTGGAGTGTCACTGGGAGCCCCGCAGCACCAAGCACGCCAAAGCCCGGGCCAGTGCTGGCGGGCGGTGACCCAAGGGTGACGGGCCTCCCCAGAGCCACGAGCTGGCCCTCCGCTTGGCCTCGTTCTGGGGGCGGGGCAGGGAAAGCACAGGGGTGCCGGGGGGGGGGCACAGCAGCCCACAGAGCTGCTTACTGGGCACCGGCCGCAGCACGTCGGGGATGAGGATCTCCACCAGGGCCTGGTACAGGATGTGGTCGCAGTTCCGCATCCACTTGAGAATGGGCTCGCATTTACACAGAGACACCAGCTTGTCCTTCGGGAGGACGGCGCCTTCAGGTTCCCCGTCGCTGTGGGGGACGGGACAGCCGGGGTGAGCCGCGGCCCGCAGGGTGGCAGAGGGCCCCCGGGACAGACCTCGCCCCACCTCTCATTCCCCAGTGGGCCCGCGCCACCCCCTTCCCTGCCTGTGGCCGGGGGATGACACGTCCCCTATTTGGGCCGGCATGGGGTCCCCTCTACAGTGTCTCGTGCTGAAGCAAGGGAATGGGCAACACAGTCAGTGTGGAAACCACATACACACACACACACACACACACACAGAAGGGGGCTCTGAGCGCCGATTCTTGGAAAGGGGACGCATTTGTCTGTGGGTCACAGTGTGGGTGTCCGCAGCCTGCAGGTTAGCGCCGGGGTCCTGGGAAATGAGCTGGTGGCTCCGTGGCCACTGGGGGCGGGGGCAGGGCGAGGGCAGTTACCTGGCAGGTAGAGAGGCAGGGCCATCGCCCGAGGAGGCTTTTGAGTTCCAGAAGGAAAGCCACAGCTTCTCAATGTAGTGAAACTGGAGGTTCACCACGACGTCTAAAGTTGCCTGCGAATAAACACAGCCATCGACCTCACGGGTGTGCGTGTTAAAAAGTGTGCCTATCACGTGTTGTCGGGACATGCCAAGCGGGCAGCGTGGAGAGCTGCAGTGGGGTCCCCTGAAATCCAGAGAGAGACCCCAAGAGGGGACGGACGTGCCACGGTTTAGAGGGGGGAGAGTCTATCTACTTGGCGAGAGGAAGCAGGGGGCCGCTCCTGCCTCTTCCTCCTCCTCCAGGTCACCCAGGGACACCTGGTGATGTTGGAGAGTTTGGCGGTTCTGGCGACGCGGGAGGCTGACCGCCTCACCGGGTTGTGGGGGGAGGGCAGGCTCGCTCGGCTCTCCAACCCCGGCCCTGGGGGGACCCCAGGGTCTCCCCGGGCGGGGCAGGGGGAGGGCAGTCACCTCGCAGTGCCGCCGGTAGACCAGCTGCAGGGCCTTGACATCGTGCAGCGTGATGCTCTCCTGCAGCAGGACGCTGCCCAGGTCGGGCGCCGGGAACTCCGGGAAGACGTGAGAGACATCTGGGAGGAAAACGGGCCTTAGCGGAGCTGCAGAAGGGCCACGTGTAGGAGGCCCATGTGCTGGGGGATTAGGGTCAGGGTTAGGGTTGCCAGTGACTGCTCCACAGCCCTGGGTCTCACAACTTTTAAGCTTTGGTTTTCTCAGGGACGGAATGGGGAAAACACTGTCATCTCCCAGGGACAGTAAATATGCAGATGAGCCCTGAGCCCAGGCCCCGGCACTCAGCGGGCGCTCCCATCACCCCAGCGTGGGGGCCACCCCAGGCAGTGAATCTGGGGAGGGGGCCAGCCGTGGCTTCCCTAGTTACTTCCCTGAAGGGTTCTGTCTGGGCTGCAAAAACACACTAAACGTAGATGAAGGCCACTGACGCCTTCGGTGTGTGTGCCCATGGACGATGACCGCAGCGAGCCTCCCTGGGCGCGACCCATGAGGCAGGCTGCGAGGCAGGCGCTCCCCGGGGCGGCCGTGGCACCAGCAGGGGAGGGGCTCTCCCAGGGAAGGGCCAGGCAGCCGTGGGTCAGGCCAGCAGGAGGGGAGAGCCAGTTTTTGGGTTTTTGTTTTTAAAAAAAATTTTTTTTTTTTTTAAGATTTTATTTATTTGCGAGAGAGAGAATGAGAGACAGAGAGCATGAGAGGGAGGAGGGTCGGGAGGGTCAGAGGGAGAGGCAGACCCCCTGCCGAGCAGGGAGCCCGATGCGGGACTCGATCCCGGGACTCCAGGATCATGACCTGAGCCGAAGGCAGTCGCCTAACCAACTGAGCCACCCAGGCGCCCCGGGAGAGCCAGTTTTAAGGAGTCCTGAGCATCGCAAATGCTCCAGGGAAGCGAGGAAGAGACCCGAGGAGGGTAGCCAAGTCCTGAGGCAACAGGTTTTAAAATGCATCCAGTCTTCTTTCCGATGGGCATTTCCTTTTCTTTACTTCTTTTCCTGATGGTCACTTTACACATTCATTCTGGGGGCATGTGCTGACTATTCTAAAATCTTGGGGATGCCACAAAGGTTGATCTAGAACATTTCTACGTCAGGAGGTATTCTACAGGCCAACTGTTTCAAGCACCCCTGCAGATGCTGCAGGTGCTGAAACCCGCGAGCCCCGGAAGAGCTGAGTGGACGCGGGAGCTTCCCCGGGAGGCCCTGCCCGCGGGGCGGGGGGCACTCACCTATGTACTGCTGGTGGTGCTGGCTCTGCGCGGCCATGGCCTGCTCTGGTGTGCTGTGCAGGCTGCCATGCGAACCACTGTCCCCGAGGCTGTCTGTCTTCTGGGCTGGCCGGTACCTGGGCAGGGGACACTGCGCCATCACGAGGCCCCAGCTGTACGGCCCGAAGGGGGCTCAAGGAGCACAGAACTGAGCAGGATTCAGTTTGGGGTGGGGGTGTGGGGGTGTGTGTGTGTGGGTGTGTGTGTAATGTTTAAAAACTTGTGGTAAAATACACACAACATGAAATTCACCATTGTAACCGTCTCTAAGTGCACAGCTCAGTGGCGTGAAGCACACTCACGCCGTCCTGAGACCACCCCCATCCTCTGTCTCCAGAACGTTCCATCTCCCCACACGGAGACCCTGTCCCCATGAAGCACGGACTCCCCACCCCCTGCCCCAGCCCCCGCTCCCACCCTCTCCTCTCTGTCTCTGTGGACGGGACTCCTCTGGGGACCTCCTGGGAGTGGGGTCCTGCGGGATGTGTCCTTCTGGGTCTGGCTCTTCTCACTGAGCCCAGTGTCCTGGGGTCCCTCTGAGTCGTGGCAGGTGTCAGGCGTCCTTCCTTTTTAAGACTGAGTAACATTCCATTGTCTGGATGGATACATTGGCGTATCCATTCATCCGCTGATGGATATTCAGGGTTGCTTGTGTGTGTGTGTGTGTATTTTTTTTCCCCCTAATACTTCTCCCTTAGAAGATAAGTCAACTTCTTTATATAGAATCACAAATATCTTACTATTATATGGTCTCAAAGGAAATTCTGGGACTTTTTTTGCCTTGAGCCAGAAAGCAGTGGACAGCCTGTCCTGGCGGCAAACGGGAAACATTCCCCGAGAAGGGCTCCCCAGGGCCCGGCGTGCCTTGTGCCCAGCAGGCGGCTGCGAGGTGGTGATGGTGGTGCTGTGGGAAGAGCGGGGGGACCCAACTCCAGCGGGGAGCGCCCTTCCTTGTGGAAAGTGGGGCCAGGCTTCCCGTGAGGACGGAGAAAAGCCTCTCAGACACGTGTGGACTGCCTGACTCGGGCGGTGGTTCCAAGCGCAAATGGCACGAGCCTGTCGCCATGAGATGTACAACTGCTCCTAAGATAATACTCTGCCTGGTGTCGTGATTCACGGGTGTTTGTAGGGGCCCAAACCCCAAACCAAACAACAACAAGAAGCTGCAGAGTCCATGTCTGGACAGATAGCTTCAGGATGGACTGTTGGTTCCACTCCTATCTGTTGGCTGCTGGAGAATGTCCTGGAGACTCTCTTCTGTGACCTCCAACTCCTGCGATTGGACGTGTGGTTTGGAGTCCCTGGGATGGCCTTAGAGCCACTAAAGTGGGTTCTTAGCCACACACGGATGGGCCAAGTTATGAAGGTGCCACGTGGAGCAGTCTGGACTCTGGAGAGGAGCCAGGGACAGAGGGAAGCAGGAAAGGAGAGGTGACTGCAGGACTGCCAGGGAGGTGACATTTGAGTGGGGCCATGAACCAGGGGCCTGCAAATCCCAGCTGTGGAGGGCCAGTGCTGCTCCTTGTTTTGTGAATGAAGTTTTATTGGCACACGGCCACGCCCATTGGTCTCTGTATCACCTGTGCCGGCTTTCATGCTACCATGGAGGACTGAATAGTCTTGACAGAGTGGCCTGCAAAGCCTAAGATATTTGCTCTTTGGCCCTTTACAGAAAGGTTCGCTGACCCCTGCCTTAAAAGATGAGTCAGTGTGTGATGGATAGAGAAGAGAACATTCCAGAAAATGACCAGGCCTTTCCAGCCATTGGATCAGAATGTCAGGAAGAAGCAGCAACTTAAGTATATAAGCTTCTTTCTCCAGGCTTCTTGGGTTAGTTTCAGTGTTCTCTCTTTTTTCACCCCCAGAGTTGAAAATTAAAGATCTAGGATTCCAGCTCTATGATATTCTGGAAAAGGCAAAACTATGGGGACAGTAGAAGGGTCAGTGGCTGCCGGAGGTTGAGGGGAGGGAAGGATGAATAGTCAGGACACAGAACATTTTCAGGGCAGTGAAACTACTCTGTGTGATCCGTAATGCTGGATACATGTCATTATACATTTGTACAAACCCATTTGAATGGAGCACCCAGAGTGACCCCTAATGTCCAGTATGGACTTGAGGTGGTAATGATATGTCGATGTAGGTTCGCCAGTTGGCACAAACACACAGCTCTGGTGCCACGTTGATGGGGGGGAGGCTGTGCATTGAGCACAGGGGACATACGGAAAACTGCACTTTCTACCCAATTTTGCTGGGAACCTAAAACTGTTCTAAAAAATAATGTCTATTTTTTTTTTTAAAAAGAGAAAGATCCGAAGGCTCTGTTAGCTGAATGAGGTTGCATTCCCAGCTTCCTGTGCCTTGGCTCTCCCAGGACATTGGAGACAGAGGTTCATAGGAATCTATTTTTTCCATCACAGTTTGGAGAGTTCCCTCCTCCCTATGTATTTAATGTTTGAGAGACACTTTTCTGTATGTTCTCCCAAGTGAAACTCAGACCCAACCCTTGCCTTGGGCAGGAAAGTCAGTCCTCAGGCTGGCTTTGGGCCAGGTCACCCACCTTGGCTTCTGATGCATGGGCTGTTGCCGCATGGCCATATACTGGGTGTCCTCCTGCAGCCGGTTCAAGGGTGAATCTGGTTTCAGGCGGATCCCATAGTAATGATACTTGGAGTTGCCCCTAGGAACCAAGCATCTCAGGGTCAGTTCTCCTTGCAGATGTTCTGAATGACAAGACAAGTGCTCTATCTTGGCCCTTCATTTTGGGTGCTCAGGTTCAGTGTTCCTGGACCATGTGGGAAATGTTCACGGGCTGTTCCATGATCAGAGAGGGGTTTAGGAAATTCTGGACTGGGCATCCGTCTCTCGGAGATCTCCCCCCCTTGCATTTTAGTATTCTAAAGGCTCTGAGAAGTCCTGCAGTGGGAAAAGCAGTCCAGCTTTGTTTGACCTGGCATGGCCTCACCACCATCATCATCACCAGCATCACCGTCATTATCATCATCATCATACCATTGTCACCATCATCACCATCAACACAATCACCAGCATCACCGCCATCACCATCATTATCACCATCACCACCATCATCATCATCACCACCAACATCACCATCATCACCAACATCACCACCATCATCATCATCTTTACCAACATCACCATCATCACCACCACCATCACCATCATCACCGTCATCACTGTCATCGTCACCATCACCACCATCATCACCACTGTCATCACTATCCCATCATCATCATCTTCACCATCATCACCATCATCATCTTTACCAACATCACCATCATTACCAATATCACCATCATCACCACCACCATCACCATTATCACTGTCATCACTATCCCATCATCTTCACCATCATCACTGTCATCGTCACCATCACCACCATCATCATCCCCACCGTCATCACTATCCCATCATCATCATCATCTTCACCATCATCACCATCACCACCATCAGCATCACCATCCTCACCCCCGACCCCTAGTCATCTGACAACATGATCTAGGAAATGGTAACGCTTTGGGAAACACTATCGTAGCTTATTATGTGAGAAATGAATGATCAGAGGGCTTTAGACAATTTGGTTAAGAAAACAGGCCAGAAGGGCTCCTCAGGAGAGAAGCAGTGAAGGATAGACATGCGTCTGGCAATAGGGACAAGTGGGCGGAGCATGGGTCCTTTCTGGATGAGGTAGCAGCTTGGCTGGTGCCAGGAGGAGTTGGAAAGCAGGGGGGAGAAAAGCCCCAATCCTAAGGCCAGCATCCAGGACACTCTGATGGTGGAGGCCATGCATGAGCTGTCTGGAGAGGCCCCAAAGGCAGTGGTGGCTGTGTCCCCAGAGACCAGGGGCTTCCTCTCCTTCTCCCCTGTCCTTCCCTCCTCTATCCATTGATGCTCTGTAAGGATGTTCTCTGTAAAGGATCAGAGGGTGGCAGAGAGCATTCTCTTGGCCCCTTCTGTGTGCTCTAGGCCCCCCACTTTGAATAGAGTATGGCTGCTGTTTTCTAGTGGGAGGAGTGTTCGTTTCCTGCCTGGGTAAGTCTGCAGCATATGGCAGTCCCTGGCTGCTGCAGGCCAAGGGCGAGCTGCTGTGGTGGACTGGTCCAGGCAGAGCAGAAAGCACCAAGAAATCATAAATCCAACTCAACTTGATAATCCAGAGGCTGCTTTTTAAGAAAACCTGTTATTATGGAAAATTTTAAAGAAGCACTGAGTGCTGAAGCAAAGCCTTTGTTCTTGTCATCAGGAGAGAGATGGCCCATGGCCAACGCCTCGGGCTGGTCAGGCCCGTGCTGCCAATTCAGAACAACTCCAAGTTCACCCAGAGGCATGCAGGCAGAAGGAGAAAGACCACATTCTCCAAAAGCTCAATATCTGTATAGAGGACGCAGGAGGACAGGTGGGCGTGGGGCTACCGGGCACCCCCATGTACCCACCTGGTGCCCAGCCGCCGCGTCCGCAGGCCCATGAACACGGAGCGGATCAGCTTCCCAAAGGAGGCGGCATTCACAGGGTCCAGCTTGTGCTCCTGGCAGTGCCGAAGGTAATGGTTGTAGAGAGAGCTTCTGGGGAGACTCACGCCTTCTGCGGTTTCGTAGTTATCCAACAGCCACTGGAGCTGGATGAAGAAAGACACACTCACGTTCGTCAGGATCCCCCCAAATGCTGAAAGGCTAACATGGCCTCAAGAAGCACATGCTTTCTCTCCATTAACATGATGGGGAAGTTCATAGCCACTGTCGCTGATTTGGATTTGAGAGATTCCGGGCACATGAATTAACAGCTTCTCTCCACTCCTGTATTTATTCCTTCAACGTTCAGCCTGGTTTTCAGATTCCTTGACTTAATTTACAAAAGCCTGCAAGTGACTGAGACCTCTTGGGTGTCTTCCTAATCATTTAGACACCATGTCTCCTAAACTTACAGGAATGTCAAGATGAAGAGGAAGATTGAAGAAAGCTCGGCGGACCCATCAGCACTGCCCCCGGCATTAAACAGGGCGACGTGGGCCTTTAGAGCTTGTCCACCTCCTGACATCTTGTGACTGAGGGACAAATCGTTCGTCTAAGGATTAAGATGGCTGGGGCTCGGCCACCTGTCTCATCGCTGGTTGAATTCTTGCCCTATTGCTTGTGCTACTATCCATGGCTCCAACCAGGAATTCTGCACCCTGGGGCAACCAGATTCTACTAGAACAGGCTGGGAAGGGAGGAGTGGAAGGTTTCCCAGACACTCCTTCCCCCTGCCCCTCTTCTTAGCTCTCAGACCCGATGCGAGCGACTGCGCTTCCTCCCTGAGGTAGGACGTGTGTGCCTCCTGAGGGGTCTGTGTTCACGGCTGGGGGGCTGGCTGAGTGGCCTGGAAACCATACACTCTGGAATGTGTGGTGTATTTTCTCTCAGGAAAGCTTTTCCTTTTTCTTTCGGAAACAACAAAAGAAAACAAAAAACAGGACGACGGGCAGAGGCGGACTGACCTCTCCTCGTGTCTCAGAGAGAGGTTGTACGCAGAAACGGGACACAGTACTGAAGAGGCTTCCGCGCCAGGTTCCGCGCCAGGTTCTGGGCCCAGGCCGGAGGGCAGCCAAGTCGCTGCCCCCAGCAGCCCCCACCCCCGCCCCCCGGGCTCAGCATCGGGTCAGAAGGGCAGGAGCTGTCCCCACAGTCAAGCCCCCACACCGGGCAGCGGCCCAGAGGAGGCCTGCCCAGCAGAGTGCGTCTGTTCTCTGATCAAGGGAGGTCTGATGTGTGAATACTAAAGCCCTGAACGTGCTGGGGATTTGGAGAAGGGCAGGAGCCGTGCCCGGGCCCCAGGCCTGAGGCAGGATCCTGCGTGGGAAGGGTGAGGGGCTCCCGGCCCCCCGCGGACCTGGGTGTGGGGGCCCCAGCACATCGCACACCCTTTGCACCCTTCTGGACCCGAAGTGAGTGTCTGCTCAGGGAGAGCTCAGCCACAGCTGGCCGCAGGCCATTGTGGCCCTGCTCGGCCCCACACGCGCACGCTGGGGGGTCGGCTGGAGTCTCCCCTTTCAAAGATAGTTTTATTATGGAAAGGTTCTAACAGGCACAGAGGTAGAGAGACCAGTGTAACTGACCCCTGCTTCTACAGTCGTCAGCTCGGGGCCCCACCTGCCGCCTCCTGCCTCTGTTGGACCTCCCTGATCTAGCGCAGGGCCAAGTGGGAGGCGGGTGGTGGGCCGGCGGGGGGCAAGGAAAGGTTCAGAGGTCGAGGTGGGCACGGCTGCATGTGCGGGATGAAGGTGGGCCACAGGCCAAAGGTCCAAGTGAAGGGACACGTGGGGGACTGACAGAGCAGAGAGTCCTGTAACAGAAGGACAGACATGGGGCGTCAGGAAGGGCTGGGGTCGTGGGCTCTGCTTTGGAGAGGTCGGCTGACTGCTGGGCCGGCTTCAGGGCAGAGGTTGGGCGCAGGCGCGTTAACGGGGCACCAAGGCTGAGGACGGGGTCTCCGGGGGCACGCACAGAGAGGGTGTTCACTCACGTAGGGCCCGAGGAGGAGGAGGAAGAGTGGCCGGAAGGCCTAGCATTCAGGCCCAGTATATTTTGCTGCCCTGCCGCCCAGGGAACCAGGAGAGGCTCCCTCCCCACAGGCTTCTGCAGAGAAGTCTCTGAGCTGCAGGAGCCTCCTCAGGGAGGGACCGGGCGCAGCTCCTGCTTCTCCCTGGGCCCTGGCACCATGGTCACTACGAAGCCGGCCTGCTCCCCGTGTGGCCCGCGTGGCCCTGTGCCCTCCTGTCCCAAGCTGAGGGCCTGCGTGGCTGACAGCTGGCCCCTCACCCGCCCAGCGTCCCAGTGTTGGAGAACCCCAGGTGGCCTCCTCCCGGCCTCAGCAGCGGGGCCACTGAGGGGCAGTTAAGACAGCATAGAGCAATGGGGGAGGAGGGTGGACGCAGCCCCCGGCAGAGGCCCCGGGGAACAGGACGGCACCCAGGAAGGACACCTGACCCCCCTCAGCCGCCCCTCTGCGAAAAGAACTTCCTGTCGCCTCACTCGATACTTAGTTTTCCAACTCTCCTTAAATGTGCTTTTTCTACCACCTTTTTCTCTCCAGAGTTTTGCTCTGGCCCAGGAGCCGCCTCCTTGGTCCTCCCTGGCCCCTGACCCCTCTCCCCTTGCTGCCGGAAGCTGTGACGGCAGCGTGGCAATGCCCTCTGACCCTCGGGGTGCACCTTCCTCCCCTCCCTGAGCACCCCTGCCCGCCTGGGCTCGGGGAGGCTGCGGTACGGTAGGTCTGGGGCATCTGGAAGGGGCAGGGGGTGAGCACAGCCCCATCGGCGTCGGGAAGCTGCCCCCCCGCCCCCAGCGACAAGGCACGGGGGCAGGGGTAACTGGGTTCCCTGGCTGCCACCCTCTCTTATTTTCAGTTTGGGATCCAGGTGAGGAAGGGCTGGTATTTGAGGGGGTCCTTTGAGCCCCGGGGTTTTCTTCAGAGAACTTTCCTCCTCTGAAGCTAGCAGGTGCATTTTATCTATTTATTGCTCGTCTCCCCCACTGGAATGAGAACCCCAGGCAGGTAGAGATGGAACCAGATCTGCCCACATTTGCACCCCCAGGAGGTGCAACGGACCAAGAGAAGGGGTCCTGAAATGCAGAGGGGCCCCCAGCATGCGGAAAGCCAACGGTCAGGGTGCAGAAGCTGGAGATTTTCTCTCTCTGCCCTCTCCCCTGCCCCCCGGCCCCGGGAGCACAGAGCGCCGCTTCTTAGGGAATCCTCAGGGAGCAGGAGAGGAACACGGACTTTCAGGCGAGAAGGGTGAGATCAGGTTCCATAGGTGGTGGGCTGGAGGGGGCCCTCGACAGGACTGGCTCACATGTATGAGGAAGTGCTCGGGAAGAATGATCGCTTCGGCTTACCACCATCCCCCAGCCCCATGTGGTTGAAATGAAAAATGGATCTCTTTACTTGGATAATTATGTTGGCATTGACAACAATGATGCATGGTTATCTCGACAAGTTCTTCCCAAGCAGAAGTAACTCCAGAGACAGCTGACACCTCTCACAGTCCCCAGAACAATCAGTTACACTTTCTCCCCCTTTTGCAACAGAGGGGAAGCTGATTCAAGTGACCAATGAGTCAAGTCATGACGGAGCTGAGGGAGGGAGCCATGGGGAGGCATTCGAGGCAGAGGGAACAGCCCGTGCAAAGGCCCTGGGGTAGCAGCGGGCCTAGCGTGTTGGAGGAACAGTGAGGGGGGACCTGTGTGGCTGGACCAGAGAGGAGGGGAAGGGGAGGGGAAGGAGGGGACAGGGCCGGTCGGGCAGGGCCCCGGAGGCTGTTTTGATGATGCTGGCTTCTACTTGGAGTGTGATGGGGGACCTGGAGGCTTCTGGACAGAGAGGTGCCATGATCTGACTTTGGTTTCAGGAGAATCACTGTGGCCGCTGCTGTGAGAAGGGCCTGGAAGCTGGGGGAGGGCAGCTGCCAAGGGCTCACTAGGTGGTGGCCACGACACTCCACGGGAGAGATGGTGGGGGCTGTGGTGGTGGAGGAAGGGGAAGTCTGCTTCGGGATGGTTCTGAAGATGAGGTCACGAGCATCTGGCGGTGGGGTCTGGGAAGCGAGGGTGAGCAGCAGAGGATGGGAGGCTCGGGCCAGAGGGGCAGTCGGGGCTCGGCTTTGGACGTGCCGCGTTGAGCTGCAGCTCCGAGCCAGCAGGTGGGAGAGGCCAGCTGGTGGGGCCGCCGGGGAAACAGCCTTTGCACTGGGAGTCAGGGTGGGGTCAGCAAGGCGGGGAGGAGGCTTCGGGAAAGAAACCAGCAGTCCGACCACGACAACTGCTGGAGGCATTTGCCACGATAATTTGGAGCAACTTGTGGACAAGGGACCCATCCCAGGAAGCTGCCGATTCTAGCCAGGCCCCAGCCCTGGTCTGCACGGCATGCTTTGTCATCACACGGGCCTGCAGTCTGCCGCCAACTGAAGACCACGTGATCTTTGGCAATTTGTGGTCCTCAATTAAAAAAAAAAGTCATAGAATCTAAATACAATTAATCTACAAGCAGGTCCTCCTCCCAGGGTTTGTTTATTACATAGACCACGCTGTCCCCATGTGACAGTGACCGTGAACCACTGGTGGGGGGGGTCCCTGCATGGGGGGGTGTTGTTCTGTGCAGGGATCTGGGGGACGGCTGAGGGGCAGCCCTGGGAGGAGCCCAGGCCCCTCTCCTGCTCAAGGCGGGGGACCTTGACTGAAGTCCCCCCAGACCAGGCACCACGGTGGTTGCATCTGCGGTGGGGGAAGGCGTTTTCCTGCCCAGGGCAAGCGCTTCGCCTCCTTCCCTGCAAGCAGCTATCCCTGGTTTTCACACCACCAAATCTGCCCATCCCCGTCTTCGAGACTGCTCCAGCCTGTTTCGGCCCCAGACTGGAAGGTTCCTTCCACCTGCAGACCCCCTGGGTCTCACTCAGCCCCTCGAGGGCAGCTGGGGAAATTCCCGGAGACCCCGACACCAGCTGGGGCTGGAAGGCACTGTCTCGCCTCCCAGGCTCAGGGCATCTTGCTAGCCCTGGACACCACCCCATGGTAGCCCGTCGCCATCACTGTCGTCGGGAAGCAAACTCCGCAGAGCATGAGAACCAGCTCCAGCGGAAAACCTGCACGGCTGGCTTCTGTGCCCACTTCGGTGTGACCTGGGTGCGCCTTCTCACAGCCGCTGGGCTACCGCCTGCGCATTTCCAGCTCCCGGGCGGGAGTTCTCCTTGTTCCTTCTGCCCCTGTGTTCAGCACAGCTCTGGTGTGGGTGGGACGCCGCGACCCTGGCTCTCGGAGAAGGGTCGGCTGGGAGGCCACCAGGAAAATGGGTCCGTGGGGCACAGCCCCCAGTCCGGCTCGTCTGCCCTAGGGCCGGGCTGGCAAAGGAGCCGGGACTCGGCCAGTGTCTCTCGGCACCGGAGCCCACTCAGCTGTGGGCGGCCAGGGTGACAAGCATCATGAGCGAGCATGGCCGGCCGCTGCAGGGACACAGGGCCCCACCTAGGGGCCAGGACCCATGCTCTCCCTCCCCTCCTGGCTCTCACATCGGCTGGACAGGCTCCAGGAGGCTTTCACCTGTGCGTGGGGCCGACTCTTCAGAAAGATAATTTCTCTTCTCTGATTCTGAGCCACCAAGCCCAGACCCTGCTGCTCACAGCTCCACGACACACGACACACGGCCAGGGAGAAACGGGCGCAGGGAGTGTTTCCCGCTCGCAAACGGAACCAGCAGGGAAGCAGCCAAAGGTGTCTCCTTCCAAAGGAAACGTGTTAGAAACCAGAAGCACCCCTGCAGCCAGAGACAAGCGGCTCATGCGTTTCCCCACAGACATTTTAAGTTTCCTGCGGAGCCCTGCCTGCCTGGGGTTTGTGCCCCACACTCTGCCTTCCTCGGGGCTGACCCGGGGCCGGGGCTTGCGGGCCGTGTTGAGGCCATGCGTGTTTGCTTCAGGGCCCTGCTGAACAGAGCGGGCCACTGTGCAGACGTGCCCGCACAGTGGCCTGAGTTTAAGACTGAGCAAGCACACCCTGCCGATTGTTCCCTCCCCAGATCGGCCATGGGGCTGACACTGTCTAGCAGTAACTGGAGACAGGGAGGCCATGAGCCACCTAGTCTGAGGGCCGGGGGGGGGGGGGGCACTCAGCAGGGGCCTGATGCTCTCTTGTTTATTCATATATTTATTGCTTTGAGATGATGGGTGTGAGACTGCTCTCCCTTCCAGTGACTGGGCCTCTGAGGCCCAGGAGTGCATGGCCCTCATTACGTGTACCTGGAGCAGCCCAGGACACCTGTGCCAATCCAGAAACCTAGAAGTTTCTGGACCTTCCCTAGCTGGGTTTCTGCCCCAACATCACTGCCCTTTGAGCCAACACCTCACTTGGCACGTCGGCCGGTACCAAAGTCTTGACAGGGCCCTAGTTAGGAAATAAAGACTCTTAGCTGGTCACCTCCTCCAGTCCCATCCTGCCCCACGAAGCTGCCCAGAGACAGGGACGTTTGCTGCCTCCTGGCACGGAAGCTACCATCAAGGTCTCCCCAGGAGGAGAGCGAAGGAGAAAGATCCTATACAGTTAAAATCAGTAGAAATGTGTTGCTTTGCACTTTTCTCCTATTATTATTATTTTTTTCCCCCAAAGAGCTGACCACAGACAGGAAAGGCAGCTGAGAGTCATTAAGGTGCCCCCAGTCCTGCCTTTTCTGTTGTGGTTGCTGCCTCTCTCAGTATCACTTTATCTGTGATGCCCGTTGCCTTCCCGGGCCCTGCAGGGAGCACGCGTCTCGCTCTTCCCTCCGCGAGCGCCGGGAGGGTACATGCTGTTACCAGCCACCTGCACGGATGCAAGACCCTTTCCCTCACGCTGCTGAAAGGTTGTTCTTTTTTTTGCTGGATGTAGCATCCTAGGTTGGCTCCCCCCGCCCCCCGCCACCTTTTAGCACCCGAGAGGCGTCATTTCACGGTCTTCGCTTGTTTGTAAGATGCCTACGAAGGTTACGAGTGCGGCAGGGCAGGCCGCCGGGTCGACACACACTTACATGGCTGTTGAGTAAACCGCTTTTGTGTGAAGTGATCCCTTCGCTTTTTTGGAGGTTTTCAATCGCCATTTCAAGCTAAAGAAAATGTGTGCAGAAACAAAACAAAACGGAAAAAAAAAAAAAGGAAATCAGATGGTTAGCATCAGCCAAGATTTGTTTTTATTAATATCCAAATAATGATTCAAGCGCCTACAAAATAAAAACAAGGCTTGACGCAGGTTGGGGGGGCGGGTGGCGCGGTTAGGCGGCGAGTAAAAGCTGTGGCCTGGGAGGGGAGCATGACTCCTGACATGCGGGCGAGCGCGGGAGCGCCAACAGCACAAAGGAGCATCTGCAAACACCCGCTGTGGCATTTCACGTCTGCGTAGCATGACTACTGAGCCGAGGCGCAAGTTCAGGTAGAAGCAAAGCCAGCAGAATAATCACCCCGCTGCTCCCCTGGACCCGTTATCAGTTGCTAGGGAGAACCAGGCCAATTCCCTGGCCCTGCCATAGGGCGGCGTCGAACCCTGGGGCCACTGGACATGCCAAAGAGACACACTCCTGAGTGTTTATGAAGCGTGAGCTGGGCAAAGTCACAGGGAGCTAAGAGGGCGCCTTCCTGGGGGAAGGGGCTTCTGAACTGGGTTCCGAGGACCTCATAGAGGGAGGGAGCTAAGGTGGTCCAGCAGGCCGACGCACCGGAGCAAACACCCGGCTGTGTGCGGCTCCTGCCACATTCGTACGTGCCGAATTTGACGCCCACTTGTGCATATTAAGTGGAAATGGGAAATCTGCTGGAGCCCACCACGACAGGCAGAGGACAGCAATGGAAGGAAGTAACCCAATGCACACCCTGACCTTCCTCAAACACGCAGGGAAGGCAGACTTCAGCAGTGTGTGTGCAAAAAGCAGGTGGAACACGTATTTTGGAAAGAACGGCTGGACGGGGCTCCTGGGCCCGAGTGCAGGAATGAGAGGGTTCTGCTTTGCCCATCACCTCTTCCGACTGCTCCGTGGGTGTCCACCGTCACCACTTTTACTCAACACTGTGCTGGAAGTTCTAGCCAGGGCAGTCAGGCAAGAGTGAGAAATAAAAGACATCCATATTGGAAAAGAAGAAGTAAAACTATCTCTATTTGTAGATAACATGATCTTAGACATAGAAAATCCTGAAGGGGCCACAAAAAAATAATGAATGCCATAAACAAACCCGGCAGAGTTGCAGGATACAAGATGAACATACAAAAATCAGTTATATTTCTCAGCAATGAACAATAGGAAAATGAAATAAAGAAAACAATCCCATTTACAACAGCATCAAAGAAAATAAAATACCTAGGAACAGATTTAGCCAACGAGGTAAAATACTTACATTAAAAACTATAACGTTGCTGACTGAAATTAAAGAAGACCTACATAAACAGAAGATATTCTATGTTCATGGATCAGAAGACTTAATATTTAGATGGCAATACTCTCCAAGTTGATCAGTGCAATCCTTAGCCAAATTCTCTATTAAACTTCCAACTGCTTTTTCAGAAACGGACAAGTTGATCTTAAAATTCATATGGTGTTAGGCCAAAACAACCTTGAAAAAGAACAAATCTGGAAGGCTCACATTTCCCGATTTCAAAACTTACTACAAAGTTACAGTAACCAAAACAGTGCAGTACTGGGATAAGGATAGACATAGATGTACACAGGTCAATGGAATGGAATTAAACATCCAGGAATAATCCCGTATGTCTATGGTCAACTGATTTTTGACAGGGGTGTCAAGACCACTGAATGGAGAAAGAGTAAACTTTCCACCAAATGGTGCTGGGATAAATGGGTTTCCACATGCAAACGAACGGAGTTGGACCCCTACCTCACAATATATACAAAAATCAACTCAAAATGAATCAAAGAACTAAATGTAAGAGATACAACTATAAAATGATTGGAAGAAAACATAAGGTAGTCATGTACAATAAGGTTATCTTCCTGACCTTGGATTTGGCAATGGATTTTTAGATATGACACCAAAAGCACAAATAAAAGAAATCTTTACAAAGATACATCGGACTTCACCTGAACTAAAAACTTTTGTACGGCAAAGGACACTATCAGGAGAGTGAAAAGACAAGCCACAGAATGGGAGAACATATTTGCAAACTGTGTATCTGATAAGGGTCTTGTGTCCAGAATATATAAAGACCTGTCACAACTCAACAGCCAAATGACCAACGACCCAATTGAAAAATGGGCAAAGGACTTGAACAGACGTGTCTGCAAGAAGCACATGGTAAGATGCTTGGCATCATTAGTCATTAGGGAAATACAAACGAAAAGCACAGGGAGATACCACTTCACACACACTAGTACGGCTATTAAAAAAGAAAGAAAGGAAAGAAAAAAAAAAAACCCACCAGTGTAGGCGAGGATGCGGAGACACTTGAACCCTCACACACGGCTGGCGGAATATAAAATGGTGCAGCTGCTGTGGAAAACAGGCTGGCAGTTCCTCCAAAAGTTATACATAAACTCAGTTAAACTATTACGTCCGAGCAATTCCGCTCCTGGGTGTATTCAGAAAAACGTGTACGTGAATGTTCATAGCAGCGTGATTCACCATGGCAAAAACGCGGAAAAATCCAAGTGTCAGTCACGGATGACTGGATGAACACAATGCGGTGTATCTACACAATGGAATATTATTCATCCACCAAAAGGAAGGAAGTAGTGATACATGTTACAATGTGGATGAGCCTCAAGAGCATGATGCTCAGTGACAGAAGGCAAGCACAAAAGACCACAGAGTGTATGGTGCCGTTTATATGAAATGTCCAGGACAGGAAAATCCGTGGAGACAGGAAGCAGAGTAGTTACCAGAGGCTGAAGGAGGAGGGACTGGCGGGAGGGGTGACTGCTAACTGGTCAGGGTTACCAGTTTACAGGGTGATGAGAATGTTCTGGAACTAAAGAAGGTAATGGTTGTACAACACTGAGAATGTACCGAATGCCGCTGAATCATATACTTTTAAGTGGTTAAAATGATGCATTTTATGTTATGTGAATTTGACCTTGATAAAAAATATACAACTAATTAAAAAACCCATTATTCTCCCTTGCGATTTGAATGGATCTTCTCCCCAAATGCGTGGTTTTGTAACCTCCTGCACCAGTCACTTGGAAAATATTGGTTCACTGATTTTGCAGATGTTCCAAATGTTGACATGCTTTCATTATACAGTACTGAAAAATCACATTTGTTAGTATCACTACCAAGCTCAAAATTCTAATTCTTTTTTGGTTGAAAATGTATTGGCAACCAAATTAGTTGGCTGTTTTCCTGGATACATCCACCTCGCACCATTCATTTTTGAGAAAATGTCTGCCAATTCCCCAAGTCTGAATAATCATCATTTGTCTGTTACTCCTTCAAGCAAACAGCGTTTCGTGACAAAAATGGCTGGTTCAGCTCACAGTCATTTGCCGGCGGCTTTTCCTTAGGACAGTCATCATACGTTGGCAGAAGTGCCTTTTGTCACACAGAATATTGGAAAGATGTGAATTCCAGGACTGAGATTTAATACAATTAAATAGCAATTAACAGCTCCACCAAGGACCATAGGTTAACCTTAACTGGAAATTGCAGTACCCCATCCTCAGCTTCTCTTTTCTTTTTCACTGTGAGCGCAGGGTGGGGAAGACCATGGCGACGTCTGGGAGAGTCTGACGCCTCGCTCTGCACCTGCATTTGTGCCCTGGGGGCTCATCGATGTTGATTTTGCAGTCAGTGCAAATGTCAGCACAGGGAAAGTGGCGGCTGATGGCTTGGTATTATTATGAAAACAGTTTTGACCCTGTGGGGCCCCTGGGAGGGTCTTGGGGACACCCAGAGGAGTGCCAGACATATTTAGGACTGCCTGCTAAAAACTACCGTAGAGTATTGTGGAAAAGAACACAAATTAAGGCTTGCTGCATAAGATCATCCTGAAGAACCCATAGATATTAAATAGGGTCCGATCAAGCCCATGGATGCAGAAAATTAATTTAATGCACAGTGGAACCTCCCAAGTTGTTCACTGTTTTAAAATTAAATCTTCGCGTAAACATCAGTAGGCGGTGAAGGTCAGGAAACCATCCCCCCACGTCGCCCAAGGCCAAATGGGGATGTTACCGCCCCGGAGTCAGCGCTGACGGCGCAGTGCGCGCGTCTGTCCAGCAGAGGGCGCCATGGCGCCACCTCCCAGCCCTGCATCCGTGGACAAGGAGCATCTTGCACTTGACTTCAAGTCCTAGTCTTCCTTACACACTTGCCAGAGCGACTCTCACTGCACAAGTACAAACGCTTTGTTCAGTCCCCTCAGTGGCTGGAGAAGTTAGTGTTTAAATATGTTTAAAATAAAAACTGATTTTATATTTGACCGGAGTTTAACTTTTTGCTATTTAAAGATACTTATCAGGGTGCTATCTCCACAGGCCCACATATCAAACAGTAAGGAGGAGCCAAGGACGGACGTAGTGGTGCCCCACCCCACCCCAGGCCCAGGCAGCTTTCGCGAAAATCATTTCCGGTTTCTGAACTTCCGCAGTTTCCTTCCATCTTGGTATTGTGCATATGCTCCTGCATCTGTTTCTTGACTTATCAAGAGCTTAATTTTTATTTTTGATTCGATGCCCTGCAGCAGTATTCCTTGCCACTTAATATCATCTGTTTCTGCTACATGAATTATTAACAGAATATGGGGGGGGGAACGGACGCATATCGTGCTTTAAGGGCTTGTTCAGAAGGAGGGCAGAAAATATGTAAGGACTCGCGATCAAAGATATAGTGTCTCAAGAACCTAATGTAATAGCAGATAGCAGACAAGTTTTAGTAGCTCCCAAGTATATTAAAATAAGCCAACTATTTAGAAAGTTCCTCTCCTTTCATGTATAATCTAGCAAGATCCACCAAGATGTAAGGACTGTACTGGGGCCTCCTAATGGAGGGTGGAGGTTAGTTCTCTGAGTTCACGAGTGTATGCCCAAGTGGCCATTCCATTTATAACATAATAATCTCATTAAACGGGCCCACCAGATAGGGGTCGCCCCTGCCAAGGGCC